GACCTCATAGGTTAAAAAGTGATTAATCCATTTTGCTCAAGTAATGTTCTGCAATTTCTAAACAATTAAGTTTTCCTTGCAGAAATATGTTGTAATAAATATATATTTTAGGAAAATCTGCTTTATCTCTAAACTATTATTACTTTTTACAACAGGGTCCACACTTAATCAGTTTGTAGCAAAATAATAAATATCTCTTATTAATTTTCAGACTTAATCTGGAACAGAAGCAACTATGCAACTATTTCTAAATTATGTTGACAGGCTAACTACTTATGAGGTAGCATTAGTTTTCTTTTATTTCTACATTTATTCTTAAACTTTTTTCTCATAATGTTTTGTCTCTTAATTTATGTATATCTAAAGAAGTAAGTTTAAAGTAACTTTGATGTATTCTTATTTACATTAATTAGTGGTAAGAATGTATGTCTTGTAGCCGTTAAGTCCCAGTTTTGATGAGACTCTTTCTAATTTTTCAATCAATCAGAAAGTTTTTTTTTTAATTTATTCATTTAAAGTATATAAATTAAAGCAAATGTACATTAAATTTCATTTGGAATTTTCATTTTTTTTTAATTAAAAAAATGTTTTAATTTTTTTTATTTTCAATCGAAATGCATAAACTATTTTAAGAATGTATTCATTAACTTTAAACTTTGTTCTGTTGTTATATTATTACTAATTATAAGTATTGTCAAAATAATAAATATTAATGTACTTTCTAAGTCAGATTTCCTTTTCAAATCAGCAAATCAACTTTAATTTTAAGATTTGAAATGGATCTTACGTAAATTTTTAAAAGAAAAACTTTGGTCCTTCTATTCAGTGAAAATTTCAATTATTTAATTTCTTCAAATAAGTTTAAAATATTTTCAATTAGAAAGAATGAAAACCGTTTTGTAAAATTTTAAGCTTCATTTTTCTTTTTTTTTCTATGCTAATAAGCATAAGGCATTTTTAGCTGTACTAATTTATTCTTGCTATTATTTACTTTAAGAAAATCAGTTGTGGTGTTGTTAATATCGATAAATTTTTTTTCTAGGATTGTTATCCCCGAAGAATACATAGAAGAATTTTATGAAAAAATAAAGGGCTAGTGAAATATAGGTATTATAATTTTTTTGGTTACTTATATTATATATACCTTTAATAATGTATAACATAGAAGTGTTCATTTGTGTCAATATAATTTAATATCTTTTATACTTTTATTCTGTTAAATTCAAGAATTTTCAAAAACACTATTTTTATTAAATGCAATACTATGCATTGACATAATTCTGTGGTTTTCAAAGTGTATACTATCATAAGTAGCGGATCTTATTATAAGTAGAAGAAAAAGAATTTTTTGCATCTGCTGTTATAAATAATTCGAAAGAAGAAATGTATGAATAATATAATAAGAAGAAATGTAGCTAACTACATTGATATACTGATAATATTGATAATTGAGACCATAAGAACTTAGTGTTAACTATAGTGTTCAGGTAGCCACCCACCTGAGAAACCTTGAAAACCTGGAATTATTAGGGAATTTTTTTGTACTGTAAAAAATCAGGGAAATTAGGATAAAAACCTGGAAAAATCAGGGAAGTTTGAAGAAGAGCTGGAAATTTTTTCTTAGATATTTTTTTATTTCACTAATTTAAATTATTTACTATATTTCTTAATTTAAATTATTGCATCCATTATACCCACATTTTTTAAACGGAAATGTATCTCCAAACAGTTAAAATGTCATCAACTTAGCCATACTTTGCCTGCATCGAAATTTGCTCCATTATAACCCTGTTAAACTAGAATGCCACATAAAATTTTCCCACGGTTGCAAAACAAATGTAGAAACCAAAATTACATAAACTTAGCTGAAATATTTCTGAAAATATGGACATTTTTATAAAAAAAATATTTTTTTTTTTTATGTTACTAACTTTAAAATTATTCGGTTAAATTAAGCAAAAGTTTTGGAGCAATTTACAGTTATAAAGTTACAGTTCTAAAATTTTAAATAAATTTGTCAAAAACTGTGTAAGATATGAGTATTTAAAGTAATTTTTTTATACTGTGCATGTGCGGAAAAAATGTAATTTTTTTTTCATAATTTTATAGGGAATCGTATTTAGCAACTAAAGAAAAGAGTATAATTTCAATATCTAAAAAATTTAGAAATTTTAAAGCAATTTTAAGTTATTTTTGTACTTTTTTTAAAAGAAATCAGAAAAAGATTATGGGTTTTCACAAATTTCATTTTGTAATCTCTGCTGTTTTCGCCAGTATCACTTTTAATAAATCTTAATTCATATTACAAAATGAAACTTGTGGAAAAATCTTTATCGTTTTGAGCTTTCTTTTAAAAAGTACAAAAACTACTTTGAAAAATTGCTTGACACTTGTTTAATTTTTAAGATATTTAGATCAGAATATTTTCATTAAATGCCAAATACAATTCACTACAAAATTATGAATTTTTTTTTTCAAACAATTTACAAACAACAGTATAAAAGAACTACTTTAAATACTTATATACTAATTACTACTGAAATACTAATCTAAAGCTGTCTTCATTGCAATTTTTTAAAATTTTAAATCAATATTTTTGTTAATAGTTTGAAATTTCTCTAAAAAATTTTATTAATTGTGTTGAATATTTTTAAAATTACAGCAAAAAAACATAGGACAAAGAAATAAGTTTTTTTATTATCTCCATAAATATTTAGCATAATATAAATAATAATAACCAAAATAATCATTACAAATTAGAAGATTCTTAATTGATTTCCTGACATAGGGTGTTCAAAAATAGTTTTTTTTTGTAATTTATTGTTGGTATCTCAAACTTATGAAAGCTTTGCTAATTATGAAACATTTAATGAACTAAAAACTGCTAAAGTTACTAAATAATACTCTAAGTATTTCTTGAGAAATTTTAAAAAATGTCAGAAACTTAAAGTGTCTCTTCCGTTACTGTCAGATTGTTTATATATATATATATATATATNACTAAAAACCTTGAGAAATTTAAAAAAAAGTCAAAAACTGAAATTGTCTCTACCATTATTCTAGGGTAAATTATGCATATATATATATTTGTTTCAGAGTCGTGACACAATGAATGATTGTATGGTGCCTTTGGCATCTAGAGGTCTGATGTTAAATTTATTCTTTAGGAATAAGTGGAGAGCGCTGCACAAACCTCAGTTTCATGAAAGTTTTTCTAAGGTATAAATGAAGATTCTTTGCCAAAATTAATATTATGTAATTTTACATCTGCTCTCAAATTTTTATTTATTTATTTTTACCTTACAGCTTCCTTGCTTGAAAATATTCATTAAATTCTCTCAAAACATGTTTTTTTCTTAGAAAAAAAATTATAGTTTTATTTTTTCTACTACTAGAACAGATACTATGTCATAGTGCCTCAAATCAAAAAGGAACCAAAGCTCATTCCAAAAGCTACTAAATCTTCCGTGCATTATAGTTGATATAAAATTTTTATGGGCATAAATAANTATGTCATAGTACTTCAAATCAAAAAGGAACCAAAGCTCACTTCAAAAGCTACTAAATCTTCTGTGCATTATAGTTGGTATAAAATTTGTATGGGCATGAATAACATAATTTTTTTTCTTTAAGTTTCATTATACTCAAGCTATTGTAAAATATCCTAACAGTTACTACATCTTGAAATTCTGAGAGAAAATATTTATGGAGTTAATTTTCATTATAAGGAAGCACTGATCTTTCTGGAAAGCTTCAACTTTTTTTAGACTTGGAAATTTTATGCTAGATTCCTAGATCCAGCTGAAATATTCAAAATTTGCATTTATATGTTTTTAAAATGTGTATCTATGGTTATGAAATGTTGGTAACTTTTTAATTTATATTTTATTAGACAACTTGAATTTTTTGTAGCTTTTGAAGTGTATTATATATTCTTTTCAGGTTCTTCTCTTAATATATGAGACAGCTACAAGTTGACTTAGTTCATTATCTTTCAAAATTGCAATTAAAAGTTTTAAATGTTGGTACTTTCATATTACACTTTCATATTGTATTTATAAAAAAAAATTGATTTAATTTCTTTTTTTTTTTAGCTCACGTAGCACAAATGAAGGAATTAGGAAATATGAAAATAAAAACGTTTTTTAGGCAATTAATTATCATTTTGTGTTCAAATTTTTAAATTTTAAAACCTTGTAATGATACAATCTACTAATTAAGTCAAATATTCTTTGAAACAATTAAATTCTCTTCAATTTGGTTTTTATTGTTATTTATTTAGTTTTAAAACATATCAATTATATTTTTTAACAAAATTGTAAAATATATTTTGAAAAAATATGCATTAGTTATTTTTAAATCTATAAATATTTCGACTTGTCTTAAAGGTGAACACATATGATCGCTATTACTTTGTACGTGTATGATTACTATCTTTATTATATTCTCTAATGTCGAATATTTGCTTGTTTCACCTTGTAAAGTATTGTCTTTTTTGAGAAATTTTGTTTTTAATTTCATTTTTTTCTCTATTTGATGGACTAGATATATCTGTTAATACACTCAAGAAAATGTTTTACAAATACTGAAAATGATATCTTCTGAAACACAGTGCCTCTATTTTGGGTTATAAAAGAAGTCCTGTGCAAAAAATGTTTCCTTCATTACAAGGGTTGGTTAGTCCCAATGTTTGATCCAGGAGTTGTCTTGTCTTCTGGGTTGGGTTCAAAATTTACAAGAAAGCGTAGTTAAGCATTGATGGTTGTAAACCTGAAACTGGGTTGACTGCTCAATGCCAGGTATAAAATAAAATATGAAGTTGTACTAAAGATAAATGTGTTGAGACAATACTATCTTTATTGGGAGAAGAGGATTATACCATTCTACTACTCAATGCTATACAAATCCCTTAACACTAAATCTTTCAGCAACAGATTCATTGGAGATCATGGCTATTCTTTGATTTTGGTATTGAATATGAATGTCCACGTATTTTTGAAAATTTTTACACAATTTGTTCACAGCTATTCTTTCTAAATAGTGATTACCATCAATGGGCACCAAAACAAATGTTGAAAAATAGCATCAGGCTTATATTCCTGTGCTGTTCTCAGAGATGCCAACCATTATAATTTCTTCATAAATATTGCGATTTCATAGACAAAATAAGGATCTAAATAAAGGTTTTGAAGAATTTTCATAGCAATCTATTTGAAATATACATTTTTTTCTTAACCACCAAGAGTTAAGAATATTTGCTTTTTTCAACTAATCTATGAAAATTCTTTTTTACTCCTTGGAACCATTTCTAAAACAATACAAACATAGAAAATTATAGACTGTTTAGGGAAAACAAAAGAACATAAACTCAAATCTGAAATGTTGTGAGAAAATATTTTTAGTGACTTAAATGTAGCTGTCTGAAAAGGTAATAAGGGTTCGTTCTAATTTAACCAAAAAATTAAAACATTGATTCCAAATAATCGATACAATTTTGTCTGTTTTACAATAAAGTATAAAATTTCAGTGTTGTATATTTTTTAAATTGCTGAGGTATTGATTTTTTTATTTTATTGTAAATATATACCTAATTATACAAATTTTTGTATGAATATATAGAATTAAGTAATATATACATCTTAGAATTGTGCTATTTGTGAATGCTAATTTGTATTGAATTCTATGTTGTTGTAAGGTTTAACTGTATTATTCTAATGGAAATTAAATCATCATCGAAATTGAATAATGACTTTGCTCTTTCATAAAAGACGCATCTTTTCTAGAAAACAAATATTATTATCATTTCAACACACCCTGCTGCTGTAGAAAGACGTTCCAATCCTCTGTTCTAGAGTCACATTATTTTTAATGACAGCTTGGTGCTTCATTCCCCACATATTAGCTAGTTTTGAAAGCTTAATTTTGTTCTTGATACTTAAGAACCATTTTTTTTAAATCAATGTTTAACACTTTCAGGGCTGCCATTGGAGACTAAAAAGGCAACTAAAACGACTATTTTAAAGCAATAGCAACTATGGCGACTATTTTAGTAAAAATATGAGTAAAAACAACTAATTTGCAATGATTTGTGTAAAATTGGCGACGTTTTTAAGCCAAAGCGACTAATATTAAGAATAGCTTCATGATCTTCCCCCTTCCCTCATTTTTTTGCCGCAGTTTTGTTTTATCCTAACTTTATTATTTCTCACTGTTTGATGTCAAAAGCATGACAGACTTATTTAACCAATCCGACTGATAGTATTGGAATTCGCACTTCGTGAATGCTCCTCCTGCTTCAGAAAGCTAATGTAATATCTCTGAGGATTAAGTTTTTCCCCCTCTTTTTAGTTTGAACGAATTAGAAAAATTGTCTAATTACACAAAATGTGTTAATTTTTTTAGAGCTATTTAGAATAGAAAATAAGGTACATGGTGATATTCGTTTTGTCGAATTGTGATCGTAATTTTTTTGATAAGCATTAAAATTTGGAAATGTGTCAGTTATGAAAAATAAGCAAAATGAAATGGAATTAAATTGCAATATTTATTATTATTATTTTTTAATGTCTAAACTAAGCAGCTGCAAATTAGAACCGAGAAAGGAAATTCAAGTTTCATATTCATCTGTTCTGTAACAGATAAAAAGGAAACTCCCTGTTTTTATGCGTCGTGTGAAAGAATATACTGTTGGCAAATCCACAATTAAATGTACATTTTTTACAGAATATGTGCATCTAACTGCATGTTATTTGAATTTTATGCTATTACAGCACAAATAATTGAAATTATGTTAGAGGAGGATATGATAGCAACTATATTATATATCTTGGTGACTTTAGGAGACTTTTTTTTCATATATGATGCAACTAAAGCAACTATTTTTCTTGTTTTCATCCAGTGGCAGCCCTGCACTTTCTTGCAAACTTATTTATTGGTTTTATGCAATATACTCCTTCATTTAGAACTCTGATTGGTTATTACTTTTGTATTTTTGATGCTGGCATTTCAGTACAACTTATAGTTTGTCTATAGAAAGAACTTCACTAGCATTTCGTCTGGAACCATAATAGTGACTATGGTAATTATAATATGGTGTTATGGTAGCTATAACTATTCTCAGTAGAGGTTTAGAGTCACTGTTTAGGACAGGTTTTGGCTTGTGTCGGCAAAAGAAAGGGAATCTTTTTCTTCGGTCTATTGTGTCAGCCCTCTACGAGAGGAGCTACACTCCCTGAAATACGCTTTTCTTGTTTCCATAGCAACAGACGGCTACAGATTTTGTGGCGGGGGGAGTTNATTTTTCAAGAATGATTTAAAAATGTTTTCGCAGAATGATTGCCAGATTACAAAATATGAAAACAAAAGCGCAAATCGAGTGTAACAAATATATATATTATATATATATATATATATATAATGTTGGAGAAACTTTAAGGAACTTTGCTTACTTTATTATTTAACTACCACCTTAAATAACAGCAAAAGCTACTACAACTTTTGAGTTGGCAGCTCTGCATTATGACAGTGAAGCCTTATCAGTTAAACAGCAACCCATGGAACTTCAAGCCTACACTAAAAATGAACCAAGAGTCTTTGACGATAACATTTCAATGTGTTTAATCATTGAGTTATTGCTGCTCTCTTAACATCAATTTCTAATTTTGTGTTGTGTCTGAGGGACAGCCTGCTTGATTCTTGCAATTGCAGTTAGTTTTTATTAATATTTCTATATTAGGGAATCTATACTATTAGAAAATGGTGGTATAATTGATAATTTTTTTTGTCATAGAAATCTCACTTATACAGTTGCAATCAAAGTGCACAAAAGATGATGCTATCAGTGATTTACTTTTAGAGTGGAAAGTTTAATTAGAAAAAAAGTTATTTTAGAAAAAGCAAGCATCTTAAATAAATTAACCTCTTCTCACCTTTTAAAGCTAACTAGTTTTATGATATAAAATTTAATGCAAGCTTAAAAAAAAACAGAGTTGTTTATTTACTTAGAATAACTTGATCATACTATTTGTTTTTGCATATTTATATATCAGTTGGGATCAATTTTATTGACGCTAAATTTCATTCATCAATCCGTCTTTTCATGACTCTAACAGAAGTAGCATTGCCGCACCAAGAAAATGACACTAGCTAAAATTAATATCATTTACGATAAATCATGTGCCTTTGATAATAATTTTGAAGTCAATGGAGGTAACTTCTAAGAACGACCCCCCTACATCAATGACCATTTTAATGTGGGACGGAGAGTGGTCACTACCGAGAGGTTACTCTGTATAAAAAAAGCATAGAAGATATATTAACACAGAGGAACAAATAATGGCAATTTTCTATTTAAAAAAAAAACAAAACTTATTGATATTTTTCTTTTTAGATATCTTCGTGTTCATACCTAGCCCAAAGTGTACCTTATCTTCCTTTGGATCATCATGTATTTTTGAATAAATAAAATATGGGGAAAAAAAGCAGTTTATTATCTGTTTATTTTAGATTAAGATAATGCTTTTATCAGTGGCGTATCTAGGGTATGGCAAGTATGGCGAATGCCATGGGCGCATTATTTCGAAAAGGCGCAAAATCAAACAACATCGACGATTATTTTTTTATAAAAAATTTCACTAATTTTTTTTTCAAGTTATGGCAGGATTAAAAAAAAACCATACAACATTTAACCTTTCCTCGTGGGCTCGAAAAGAAGACATCAAGGTCTTTTGAGGAACTCTTTTTTGTAACTGGGGGAGTGAAGTATGAAAGGGAAGACTTTTAATCCAGGGGTCTGTAAAGACATTTTGTGAAAGATCCGTTTTTCGTGAAATTGTGAAAAAATTACTCACATTTTTTCAATCAGGGTCCGCTTTTATGAATTTGTGCAAATAAGATCCGTTATTGCAAAAAAAAAAAATTTTTTTTCAAGCAATTTTTAAATTGTAAAGACATACAAGATTATGCTCAACACTGTAAAATTATAATTAAAAAAATTAAATTTTAAAAAATAAACAACAATTGCTGCTTCTAAATTAAAGATGCAACATACAAATTTTTGGTATTAAGCCTATACTGCTGAACGCAGAATATTCATTTCGGACGAATAATGGAAGAATCGTCTGCCGAAGACAAAACTTAATTCGTTTACATCCATCTTTCTTGTTTTCTGCCCTGGAAAGGGTTTATTCTATTAATTAAATAATAATGAAGATAAACAAATTTGTGAAGGGTCCGTTTTTATGTTAAAATATTTTGTGAAGGG